GGGGGTCCGGGCCCGTCCGTGTCAGGCCTGCCCCCTTGGCGGGGCGCGTACCTGTCCTGCCGAAGGCTGCCGCGCTCGCTACGGACACGCGTGTCTCTCCGTGAACTCGTTTGGGCTGTTTCCTGGGGAGACTTCACAGGCAGATTAAAGAAACTGCGAGCTGAGGGATAAGTCTGTGCTCGCGGTTTCGTCTTCAGCGTTTTTCACCCCCCTAATACTTTGTTTTCATCTCTTCTCAGCAGAACTTTTGTTTAGGAGAGGAAAACTAGTTCAGATATGGGCCGGAGCATTCCTTACGCATCTCGGTTTTGCAGGATTCTTGATACTACAGGACAGGCGTGGGAACTGTTTCGTCTTTGAGCTACTTCTTTGATAGCCTTTGAATTTTAGGGTTGGTTGTTCCCAGTGTCTTTTAAGTGGTGTGTACATACACGGTTGGAAATGTCCGAGGAACGCACACGCAGCTGGCAGCCTTCTGTCCCGTTCCCCATCGCTGTCACGTCTGATGAACGCCTGTCAAGTAGTTAGTCTGAAACACCTACAGTGCAGTGAAGGGTCCCGAAGCGTTTAGCTGTGTCTTGTGGTACCGTAACGATTGTACAGCAAACTGGACCTAAGTGGCACCTGGTGTCATAGTAGCGCCGTGGTCAGAGTTCCCCCGTGCCAGAAGTTGGATGGTCTTGTGGAGATCGTCTCTGAGGGTTATGGTTCAGCCGCTGAAACCATGGGCTGTAAATTTAATGCATAGGTCTGTCGCTAGGGGAAAGGTATTTTCTTAGTGTGGGTTTAAATCCTAACGAGGTCAGGCAGCTTGTAGGATTATATTGGAGCTGTCTTTAACTTGTGTGAAGACGGTAAATTCTGCTTTCTCTAAAGTGGTTTTGTTTATATCCTTTTCTGCTGAAGGTGCAACTAAACGTTTTTGTTGTTACACCTGAAGTTTTGAAAGGGAGTAAAAGATAATAAAAATTCATAAGAAGAAGGCATCTTTGTCGCAAAAAACTTACCAGGCCTGCTGTTGTCTAACCAGTTGTAAGTGGCATGTTCCTACTGTGAGAAAGGTCAAGAGTTGATAACTGATTTATTCAGTTACTGGCAAACCAGCCACAGCACGTGCACTGAGTTGGTATTTGGTTTGTACGTTAAAGCGGAGGAGAGGGAACGATGTAGGATTTGGGGTGGCAGGGAGAAGAGAGAGCTACTGTGAGTGAGCGGCAGGAGCAGAAGAGTGGTTGCAGAACAAAAATCTGTAAGAAATGCAATTGCTTTGACTTTGCTGTTCATAAAACAACTGTTTTGTGTGTACTGTGGGTTTTTTTTTTTAAGGCTGCAGAACTTCGAGCTTACCTGAAATCCAAAGGAGCAGAAATCTCTGAAGAAAACGCTGAAGGTGGACTTCATGTTGACTTGACACAGATTATTGAAGTTTGTGATGTGTGCCTGAAAGAGGATGACAAAGGTTTGCATCTTTAACTCTTGTTGGTTTTGCTAAGTGTATTGCTATCAGTGCTTCCAAGTAGGTAACAGGGGGCAGAATTTAGAGGTGTGTGGCATGGCTTGCATGTTAACACATGCATCTTTCTAAAACTGGCGGTGCTTGTTTCCGTCATTGCCGTGTAAAATTTGCATGTGCTTCTCCAAACGTCCAGTGCCCTTTGAAGAAGTCAGAAATTGAGCTAGGCTGTGCTTGTGATGAGGGCATAGCGAGTGGCGTATAAAATATTTTTTTTTCTCTGAAAAAAAATGTGTGATAAAAATAAGACTCACTGTCAATTAATGGCCGTGGTGCTGCGAATCAACAAAAATTAAAGTAACAACAAAATTTAGGACTAGACAGCTGTGAGTAGAAGTTTTAAGGCCTAAACATTAGTTGAATAATATTGTCTAAATTATTGGAATTTTCAGTAGTCAGTAACTCTTTTTGAGGTAGGACTATAAAACCTTAGAAACTGTAGTAGTGTTTTAATGACACTGAAGAAGCCTTAAACGATCTTTCTGTGCCTCTTGTGCTCTGTACCATTGTATAAGTTCCATTTAGAACTTTTACATGTAAAAAATCAATTATTAATATGAGTATGTGGTGTATGAAAGAATGCATGGTTCATCTAAAGAGGAGTACTTAAGATTATTTTTCGTGTTGCCTTTTGCTGTAGGCAAATGAGTGTGAAATACTGGAGAAGCTTATTGCTTTGCTGTTTGATGTTCGGGTGTAATTTTTGGGAATAAATAATATTTTCCATATGTAATGAATTTTGTGCTTATTCTTTACATAGCTGATATTTGGGCAGGCTGTGAAAAGAAAGCACAAAACCTGCCTGGTCCTGTTTGGAATGGATGTAACACCGTGCTTAAAACAGGAACTGGGGAGGCTTTTGAATATACTTTGTTCTTGCTGGCATTTTCTCTGTGGTCTGGGTTTCCCACGTGCTCCCAGTGAAATGTTTTGCTGTAGTTGAGCACTGGCTGTTAGTATTCTCACTCTAGAACTGTGGGGCAATATTCTGGATGTGTAGGAGGAAGCCACTGCTTTTTTAAGACTGAAACCTGATGTTCCTCTGACTTCTCTTATGTGGGAACAGAGAATTTGGAGCAAGTGTGACATCAAGTACCAAATTCTGTTCTGACCTTAGAGTGGTAATTCTTGCTTTACATGGAGATGTGTTGGTGAAAGACCACGAGCCAAATCTCTGGTACATTCTGACGAATAACCAGGTCGATTATCTTGACGTTTCTGTCTTTTACAGTTCTTGCTGATGCGGGATAATCGTTCGTAGCAGAAGTAACTCTCTTGCAGTAAATAGCTACTGATGATTGCTGCTTGCAATTATAAACAGCTGCATGTTTTGTTCTGTGCAGATGTTGAGAGCGTAATGAACAGTGTAGTCTCTTTGCTTCTTATCCTGGAACCTGACAAACAAGAAGCGCTGATTGAAAACCTGTGTGAGAAGTTAGTAAAATTTCGGGAAGGGGAGCGCCCATCTCTTAGATTGCAGCTGTAAGTATTGCACAGAGGAAAGCGAGACAATGGCATCTCGCAACTCTGTGTCTTGAAATCAAAGTGTGGAGTGTCTGCAGGAAGTACTCTTGGTTTTTTTTTAGCCACCTTTTTCTCTGTTGTAAAATAGAAGTACCGATATACTTTGTTTACTTGAATGTTACAAACATTAAGTGTTACAAAAAATTAAAGTGCATGGAGTTTTCAGCTTACCTGCTGAAAACTTACAAAACCGAAAGCCGTTAGAATTCCTCACGGATGTAAGGTGCCACCAGGTGCTTTACGTGTACTAACACGCCTCTTAATAGAAATATTTGTGTGCACTCCCTTAAAGTTTTTCGAGATCTCTTTAACTCAGTTTTTAATTGTTTGTGGTTTAGGCTGAGCAATCTTTTCCATGGTATGGATAAGAACACTCCTGTGAGATACACAGTGTACTGCAGCCTTCTTAAAGTGGCCTCATCGTGTGGTGCCATCCAGTACATTCCAACTGAACTAGATCAGGTAATTAATGCGATGCATCGTGTTACGGCCTTTGTATTAACCGTGTGGCATCTCACTAAAAATTAGTCAGAGTTGATACAGACCATCTCTCCTTGTTATAAATTGCCAGAGCCTAGTGAAAGAAGAAATGTAGAATAGAGAATTTCTTGTAAATGTCCGTCTACAGAACATAAATCAAGTTGCCATTTGTTTTCTGCTGATGCTGAACATAGTTAAATGTATCTGTCCAATTCCTGTGGAGCAATGGAAGTGAGAAGCTTTCATCAGGAATGAGGCATGAAGTTCTTGTCCCATGCTCTGGAATCCCAGTGTGTTAGAGTCACTCGTCCTTATTTAGGAAGTAAACATGGAGAGCACAGGCTTTTGGCTTCTCACGGGAAAACTTCCAGGTTCTGCATGGGGAGCATGAGTCAGAAGACCCAAAGGAGAAATCTTTGTGGAAGATCTTTTCAATCCTTTTCTGCTTGAGAGAAAATGAGAAATATTTTTAGATTTATTTTAGTCTTTTCCCCAATGCTTCTTTTTCACTTGTATGCTACCTAGGTCCGAAAATGGATTTCTGACTGGAATCTCGGCACAGAGAAAAAGCATACTCTTCTGAGACTGCTGTATGATGTCCTAGTAGACTGCAAAAAAAGGTATAAAATACAAGTAACAGATACTAGATAACTGTATTTTAAGTTGATGTATTGTAAGTGATCTGTAGG